TATATATATATATATATATATATATATATATATATATCATAATAGCATTTTGCAATATTGTTATAATAAGTTAACTTAAAACTATTAAGATTTTTCTGATATGATTAATAATCATGTGAACTTTTTAAAAATTATAATCATGTATGATAAATATTTATGGAAGTTTGACCTTTAATTAAATGTTTGGTGTTTGAGATGAAGAAATTTTTGAAGGAAACTTTTTCCTTAATTGAGTCCTACATAAGGGCAAATCCACATTAATTGCTACAAGTTCAACAAAATTTAATAGCCTGACTCAAATATCTTGTATGACTATTAAAAAAAATTAATTAGTACTATATACAAAAATAATTATTATTTGAACTCATAAATTCAAAAATTCTTACTCCGTCTCTGATCGGACACCACATGAATATGAATAGAACAACAAATACTTTTTTTTTAAAAAAAAAAGAACAATGAAAATATTCTTAAACAACTCCTAATTAACATAATTTTAAGTTTAAAAAATCTTACCTAATTCCATTTAAAATAGCCATGTGTCCCCTCAGCCATCTCTCCTTTCCCAACCACACCAAAGGAAAGAAAAATGACAAATCTTAAAGGCAAGAACTTAAAATATTTTTTTACAGAAGGCATGGAAGAAGTTAGCAATACTATATTAGTACACCATTCGACTCATTTTACGTGACATTATTTAATTTAATTTGATATTTTCAAAAATTAAAAAAAAAAAAACTTGTAATCTAACACAATCTTAGATACTTATGTGATCGTAAATCATTTCAATAGAGATAAAAAATAAAATTAAAGTATAATTATTCTTAATTATAATAATATGACTTTTTAAAAAACTGACTAAAAAGAAAAGATGCAACATGAAATGAAATGGAAGGAGTAATACTAATTTTTATATATTTTTGGTTTCCTACTCAATATTCGATATTCACATTGAAATCCAACTAATCCGAATTCACATTAATAGGACCCCATTTGAAAGATAACGTTTGAACCTACTCTGATTAAGAAATGAACAACTTCATTTGATACAACATATTACTTGGTGGTTAGTAGTTAGTACTAATCCTTAAATATATTAGGTAAGGATACAAAATTAACTAAAAGGTAGGGGTGTGCAAAAACCGAACCGACCGATAAACCAAATTGATAAAAATGTTATTGGTTTATTGTTATTGGGTTAACGATTTTTTAATGGTTTTATAAAAAAAATTATTGGGTTATCGGTTCGATATTGATTTTTAATATTGGGTTATTGGGTAAACCGATAACTCATTAAGGCTAGTAATTTACTACTTTTATTTGTACATAAATATTATGTATTAATCTCAATACCTTAGTAGTTACTATCTTTGTTCTTTAGCCTTCAATTGACACTTCACAATGACTTTGAGTTCACAATTTCACATTATAAAAAACGTTAAAATCTCATTCCTCTTAATTTCTCTTTGTGTTACGCTTGTATAGTTCTTTTCATGTTTGTTATTTTTGTTTATATTTTATGAGCATTTGTAAAGTTACATTATTGTGTTTTTGCATCAAATTTGTTTGAAAAGTCATATATTTGTTTTATATGTATTTTCTTATTGGTTAAACCGAAAATCGAACCGTTAAGGACCAAAATCGATAAAAAAAAATCTTATTGGTTTGGTTATTGGTTTAACATATTTAAAAATCGAAAGTCAATAAATCGAACCGAACCGACCGATGCACACCATGGTTAGTTGATAGTTAACCATGGTTAAGCCAAGTTCGACTTTATCTTCTCACACGTAAAACGACACTTCCCCAAAGCCCAAAGTCAAGCTTTTCGCTATTTTATAGAAATAGTACTTATTGAATCAACACTTGTACCATTTCCCTGTTTTCTTCTTCTTCTTCTTCTTCTCTCTGCATTCTGATCTCCTTTCTCTCTTTACATACAATTTTCTTCCATTCAAACTTCACACACACAGTTACTTTCTCTCTCGCAGTGCATGTGTGTGATAATCTTCGGTGCTTCTTGAATTCGTCGGATTCTGACGTCATCACCGTTTTTACGGTCACCGGATTTGTCTTCTAGGTACAGTATATGAAACTCCATTTCTCTGATATTTTTGTTTATTTTTCCTGGAATTTCATGTTTTGGAGGTTTATACCGGACGAAACGGTAGAGATTGATGCGTTTTTTTTTGTTTGATTTTTGCAGTGGTTTTGAATTTTTCTGTTTGGAAATTTTGCTGTTATATCTCATCGGAAATTGCTGGGAGTTTTTAGGAGGTTTATTACAATTTGGTTAAATTCAATTTTAAGGTGAGATTTTTGTATTTTCTTATGGTTTAGTTAAATTTTTAGATCCTTATTCCTTTTGTTTGTATGGTTGTACTTGTATTTCGTCTTGATATACTGCCTGGATTTTTGTCCTTGTACTGACTGTATCTTACAGAAAATATCCTTTTTTTTTTCATTGGAAAATTCTTTACTTTTTTCGAAATAGTTTCATCATTTCTTGATTTTGTGAACGATAACTTAAAACTCAAGGAGGAGTTGATATGGTTTATGGAAATGAAGAAATCAGCAGAGAATGGCTGTTTTGCAATAAGTCAGGATAAGTTGTACTTTTGTTTCTTCAAATCAGATTTACTGAATTTGGGAAAACATTATGAATTGTACCAGTAATTTCATGCTAATATCAAAGGCATAAGAGATGTGGAAATAATGAATTCGGAAGTGGATTCATTTAACAGCTGTGGAAGTAAATGTTGGAAGAAAAATCTAGACGTGTAGCTGTTATGTTCATGTATTTGAATGTTTGTTGAGGTAGTGTCAAAAATGAGAGTGAAAGAAAGAAAAAAGGGACGTGAAAGCACCTAGATGCGGAGTTTGCGCAGGGAGGTGTAATATGGTGTGTTACTTTGAGATCATGACATGCATGACCGTGTACGTGAATTGACAGTCATTAATGAGTAGAAGACGACAAATATTTCTCTGTAGAGAAGTTCTGCTAGTTTTGAGAGAGGAACTTTAGCACAATAATGCGTGTGGACTTCACATTTTTCATTGTGTAAAAAGTTATAGAGGAAGTTGGTAAATTGGAAAACTTTCCCAAGTTTTGAGAGTGACGTAAATGGACCGTTTGTAGCCATTGAAGTGTTCAACATTTTTTGTTTCCGTGTGCACGTGTACCACGCAAACCTACACACTCTATCAATATAAAATTGAGTGTGACACCTTAAATGTTGAAAGAATTAAATTTAATCACCCATAAGGTGACAAATATCATAAATATGCCGTGAAGAACTGGGGTGCACCAGGCATTTAGTTTCTTTTTAGGCTTTTAGCTAAGTGCCGGTAGGGATAACTATCCCCACTATGATCACATAAAATCTTGTTATATGGTAATGGACATGGAAGAAGTTTGGTCACATAGGGTCTGCTTATTGTATCTAGTGCTCACAAGATGTAGTTAGCTCATTAGCAGAGGCGAGGCCCAAATTGAGCAAGCTATGTGAATCTGAGTACTCAGTAGGTCCCTCGCGAGCCTATTGCATAGGAGCCAAGTTCTTCTGAGTTCTTGCTTGATGTCAGACTTTGGATATTTCCGGTGATTATTTTACGCCTGACACCAACAATGGTCAGATCACAGATGGTTGATGCCCTTATTTGAACTGTCAGTTGTTTCCTAACTTTCTTGTGTTTGTACTTTCTAAATTTTTTAATTTTTTTTTTCTTACAAGGTTGTAATTTCTGTTTGTTTTGTTGAATAAGATGTTACCACTGACTGTTGAAGGTCAGACTTCACCACCATCTTTATTACACTGATGACAATGCTGGATCTTATTTTGATCCATTTCTCTAGAGATATAGTTGTCTTTTACAGGTTGTTTAGATTCTATGGATATCCGATTTGATGGTGAAGTTTCAATCCTCTAGCATTCTGTAGTAGTGTTATCAAAGGTGAAAAGCGTATAAAGCGCTAAGGTCCAAGATCCATTGGGGCTTTAAGCCACAAGCACAAGCTTCAATGCAGGTGCAAATAAAGAAAATAAAAATATTGGGTAGTTTATAAATAACAATTATAAACATACATAACAAATATATAAATAACAATATTTTTTAAAAGAACAATAAAGTAAAATATTCATTGTTTAGTGTGCTCTTTACGATAACTCCATTGGCGATGAGACATGCCTTAAGCTACCACTCAGTGGGGCAAAGCATTTTGCCTGCTTTGCACTAACTTTGAATGAGCCTTTGACAACAATGTGTTTTAGGGGATTAATTAGACAGAATCCTAAGGGGTCGTTTGTTTTGGAGGTTTGTGTGAAAAACGATGATTGCAGAAGAAAGAACTAGACAATTAGTGTACTGCTTGATTAGATTCTTCTCCTGCATATTATTAAACAACAAATATTAAGAGTTCCGACGGCATGTTAGAACGCATTTCATGGCTGTTAGACCCGCAATAGGTATACTCTAGAGATCTATATAGCAGCGTTATCAAAAGCAAATAGCGCAAAAAGGGGTTATAAGCACACAACGCACATAAAGCATAAGCTTTAATTTAAAAAGGTGCAAAGGGAGAAACAATACAAGTATATATGTTTAGTCCAAGAATAATAATAATTATAAGCATGAAATGAATGACAAATTTATGAACAAAGAAATTGAATTTTTTTACTATGAAGGGAAATATCAATTGTTTAGTGTCACCTCTTTAGAAGAGGCTAATTGTCAAGGAAAAGTATGCCTTAGAACGTTGATGACGACGTTGAACCATTCATTAAACGAAGCAAAGAGCTCAACACGTTTTGAGTGTCGCTTCAGGCCTTGAGTGAGCCTTAGACAAATAGAAGTATAAATGCCTTTCTTGTTTGAAGGAGCATTGAATATCCAATAATTTCCTTTTAATGTAAAAAGGATAGATGCAATTCACTATGAGCTCATTTACCTGTAATTGCTACATGCAGAAAGTAGATAGTGAATAACTGCGATAGCATTTTAAGCATCTTTGGAATATGTGTTTCTCCACCAAATTAGTTTTTCGCAGAGATAAACGGATTAATGGTTGGCCTTCCTGTAATATCCTTTTAATTGGAGAGCTTGGAGGTGGTGCATGATTTGGTGCGCTCGCCTTCAAATAGGTTTTTGGTTTGGATTTGAGTTTGTTACAAACATATCATTCCTAGGTTCGTTAAGAACCATCCACCGATCTCATTCAACATGTCGAAATTGGAACTAAACTTTTTATTGGTACTCGTTTTTTTCACTGCTCATTACAGCTCAACAGTAACTGCTGTTGCTACTGTGTCAGCCATGGTCTATCAAAGCCATATTACAGTTATTATGATAAATGCCATGTTCTTGGACCATGACCTTTGGAAATGTGTATTTCTCTTCTTATGTATTGGATCCCACCTGATAATGTAGCCAACCCTTCACCCTGCTAAATTAGTTAATACTTGTAGCTTCCATAATATATCACTTGGCAGCTTGTAAATTTTCGTTTAAAACTACTACTGTCGAATTCCATGGTGCTGTATTTCATGTCATTCTTATTATGTGATTTAGATGAATTATTGAGTCATCGCAATGCTGTAACAGTTCTATGAACTCTATATTATTTTCCCTTTTTTTAGTTTGAGATTAAATATTTCTTGACACTTTTATTCCTGCTCTTTAAGTTTCTTTGTCATTCCTTGCTTGATGCTTGCTAATATCCTCAACCCTTCCAATCCATAGTTCTATTGTCTGGTGTTATGATGATGTTAGGAATCACGACTTATGATGAACTTGTTGGCAAAATAATGATTCATCTTTTCTACCTGTTGGTGCTGTAGGTTACTGCACAATTGCTTTGGGGCTGAAAGTTTCAAGCATAGATTTCAAATTCCAGCAGTGCGTGTTTAACAACATAGACCAAATTTTACTTTATAATCATGCCATCAAGATCTTGTGCTAATCTTTTGGACATGGCATCTGGAGATATACTAGATATACCTCAGACACCTAGAGCTCTTCCACGTGTGATGACAGTTCCTGGAATCATCGCAGATGGTGATTCAGATAGTATGTCATCCTCATGTCGAGAGCGAAAAATTGTTGTAGCAAACATGCTGCCTTTGCATGCTCAAAGGGATATAACAGCTAAAAATTGGTTATTCAGTTGGGATGAGGATTCTCTTTTATTGCAATTGAAGGACGGGTTTTCTCCTGAAACTGAGGTTGTCTATGTTGGTTCTCTGAAGGTTGATGTGGAACATTGTGAACAGGAGGAAGTTGCTCAGCGACTTCTTGATGAGTTCAAGTGTGTGCCTACTTTTGTACCCCATGATATCCAGGAAAAGTTTTATCACGGCTTCTGTAAGCAGCAACTTTGGCCTCTTTTCCACTACATGCTTCCAATGTGTCCTGATCATGGAGATCGTTTTGACCGGCAGATGTGGCAAGCTTATGTCTCTGCAAATAAGGTTTTCGCTGATAAGGTTATGGAAGTGGTTAATCCTGATGATGATTATATCTGGATTCAAGATTACCACCTCATGGTTCTACCGACATTTTTGAGGAAGCGCTACCATCGTGTCAAGATAGGCTTCTTTCTTCATAGCCCATTTCCTTCGTCAGAAATTTACCGAACTCTGCCTGTTAGGGATGAAATTCTCAAAGGGTTGTTAAATTGTGACCTAATTGGCTTTCATACATTCGATTATGCACGTCACTTTCTGTCATGCTGCAGTCGAATGTTGGGTTTAGATTATGAATCTAAACGAGGACATATTGGACTTGATTACTTTGGTCGTACAGTTTACATTAAAATTCTGCCTGTAGGCATACATATGGGTCGACTAGAGTCCGTGATGAATTTGTCTTCTACTTTTGATAAAGCTAAAGAAGTTCAAGAACAGTTCAAGGGGAAGAAGGTAATTCTGGGTGTGGATGATATGGACATCTTTAAAGGCATTAGTTTGAAATTGCTAGCATTTGAGTACCTACTACAGCAGGACCAGAACTTGCAGGGGAAACTTGTTCTTGTTCAAATAGTAAATCCTGCTCGTAGCTCGGGCAAAGATGTTCAGGAAGCAAAGAGGGAGACATACTCAACTGCTGAAAGGATCAACAAAATTTACGGTAGATCTAATTATGAGCCTGTAATTTTGATTGATCGTCCGGTTCCTCGCTATGAGAAGACTGCATACTATGCTGTTGCTGAATGCTGCCTAGTGAATGCTGTAAGGGATGGAATGAATTTAGTGCCTTACAAGTATATTGTTTGCAGGCAAGGTTCTCCTGGTATGGATGATGCTATGGGTATTAAAACTGATTCTCCTAGAACTAGCATGCTTGTTGTGTCAGAATTTATTGGTTGTTCCCCATCTCTGAGTGGAGCAATTAGGGTAAATCCATGGGATATTGAAGCTGTTGCTGAGGCTTTAAATGTGGCCATTACAATGTCTGATTCCGAGAAACAACTTCGTCATGAGAAGCACTACCGCTATGTAAGCTCTCATGATGTAGCTTACTGGGCTCGTAGCTTTATGCAGGATTTGGAAAGAGCTTGCAAAGATCATTACAGTAAGCGTTGCTGGGGCATTGGTTTGGGCCTGGGCTTCAGAGTTATTGCACTTTCTCCGAATTTTAGAAAGCTGTCTATTGATCACATCGTCTCCTCATATAGGAGGACACAGAGAAGGGCAATATTCTTGGACTATGATGGCACTGTTGTACCTCAGTCATCATTGATTAAAGCTCCAAGTGCTGAAGTTATTACACTGTTGAATTCTTTAAGCAATGATCCTAAAAACACCGTGTATATTGTTAGTGGCAGAGGAAGAAAGTCATTAAGTGAATGGCTTGCACCGTGTGAAAGACTCGGAATAGCTGCTGAACATGGGTATTTCATTAGGTAATGGATATTTTATGTGAACATGAAACGGTCCTTTGTCCCAGTTGCCCTATAATTTCTCATTTGGAATTTTTATTCTGAAGTTTTTCTTGGACACCTTCATGTTTACCGGTTTCTATCATGTTGCAGGAGTAGTAAAACGTCTGATTGGGAATGTTTGGCTTCTGATCTTGAGTGGAAACCAATTGTGGAACCTGTGATGAAACTTTACACAGAAACAACTGATGGATCATATATTGAACCTAAAGAGAGTGCTTTGGTGTGGCACCATCAGGATGCAGACCCAGACTTTGGCTCCTGTCAGGCAAAGGAATTGTTGGATCATTTGGAAAATGTACTTTCAAATGAACCTGCAGTTGTTAAGAGGGGCCAACATATTGTCGAAGTCAAGCCACAAGTAAGACCCCCCTCCCTCGTGTGTTTTGTGTCTCACGCAGATACAGACATGTGCATGTTGCATTATGCTCTTCCATGTTTTACTGTTTGTGCTATTTGCAGGGTGTGCTAAAGGATTAGTGGCACAAAAGGTCCTCTCAATGATGGTAGATAGTGGGACTCCACCTGATTTTGTTATGTGCATTGGAGACGATAGATCAGATGAGGACATGTTTGAAAGCATATTAAGCAGTGTGTCCAGCAGTTCTTCAATCACTGCTGCCCCAGATATCTTTGCCTGCACTGTTGGGCAAAAGCCAAGCAAAGCCAAGTATTACCTAGATGATACTGCTGATGTTCTTAGACTGCTTCAAGGTCTTGGTAATGCGTCCTGTCCAAAGCCAAGACATACTGCTCATTTCCAGGTTGCGTTTGATTCTGTTCTGTAAGAAGGCAAAGTAGTTGGTCGGGCATGTACATGGTTCTACTTTTGGGGTTTATCTTTTACCGATGAAGAGTATATCCTTACATCAATCTTAACTTAATGTGATGCATGATTGGACTCAGGACCGACTGTTTCCAGGTTATGCTGCATTCAGGGCTTGAAATTCCCATGTTGACTGCTTTTTCTGTAGATTTCATCGTCGGGGAAAAACTTTGCTTAGAATTTCAGTTTTGCCGTAGTCATATGATGGCTGCCCTGAATGATTAACAAACACCATTGCGTTGTATAGATACATTTATCTGTTTAGCTTAATGACAGTATGGTTTAAAGTTTTACCTCAGTGGAAGCTACTAACGATGCTTGATGCCGTTTTGTGCCAAATGAGTTCGCTTGAACATGTACATAGTACTAGATTTTTCTGGAACGTGCTATCGAAATGTTATTACTTCAATTGTTCTGCTTTCCTACTGTAAATATTTCAGATGCTACTATCCTGATCATTGCACAATTTAGTGGTTGTGAACTCTGGTCAATTTAATCTTGTTTCTGACGTCAACATCATCACCATACTCAATGTAATTCTACAAAGTTGGGTTTGAGGAGGTTAAAGTGTGTGCCGTTTTCTGCTTCTTATGTCAATCACATCTAATTGTCTTGTGATTGGGATCTCCCAAAGATCAGATTTACCAACTGGCTTCCTCAATATTTCATGTGATCAAGGTGTCAATGCCAATGTTCACAGAAATGCAGGTTTCAAAATGTGGTAGTTTTGTGTGTCAATGACCTTGGTAAGCCGCAGGTGTGTCATGTCCAGTCTAATCATCTTTTTTCAATATTTCTGTGGCCTACCTCCTCTCACCCACCAGTCAATCGCATGCATCTCCTAATTGGGTCATTTATGCATCTTCTCTTTATACATCTAAAGTTTGAACCATCTCAACCTTGCTTTCCTCATCTTTTCAACACAGAAGGTCATTCTCATCTTGTCCCGAATATCTTCATTCTTATTCATTTCTCTTCTAATATGTTTACACATTTATACTCATTTATGCTACTTTCATCTTTTGAACGTGTGAGTTTTAGATCGGCCAACACTCCATCCCTTACAAGTTACAACCTAATTGGTCCTATAATTACATTATAAAATTTACCTTTAAATCTTGACGACATATTCATATCACACAAAATAGACACTGAAATCTCTTAAATTGCAATGATTCGAAGCACTTCTTGTTGCACTATTTCCAATCAATGAATCTAGCTATCCAAATTTGGGGATACAACTCTATTGATTGGTTGCTTCCATATTTCAATATAAACATAATATTTTTGGGTAATATCGTTCTCAAGCAAGTAGAAACTAGAAAGTTAACCACTTACCTAGTTCCATACAAGTAATTGTTGAGGATAAGAGTTGCATGAAGTAAAAGTGGAAGTGGACCAGATTGGACTCACAGCCTCTTTATAATAAATAGCCAAACATTTTGGGTTGGACGGTGTCCAAGCCCAATGATGGCCCCACGAAATCAATCAATTACCTGGCCTCCTACCAATTATTATTCCGTTTTACTTTTCTTTTTAGTCCGTCATAAAATGAGTGATAATATATTTTATATTTAGGAACAATTAACTCTATAATGTTCACTTTACTCTTAATAAGATGATTTATAGTTGCACAAATATCTATGACTTGTTTTAGAATATAAATTTCTGAAGTATTTCGCTGTTTTGTTAAATTCTGTATCAAGTCAAACAAAATCAGATGAATTGAGAATAACATAGGGTCATAGCCCTCCAAATAAAGAAGAAAACAAATTTAAGAGTAATAGAATACAACCCAAGAAGAAAAGAAAAATAAGTTAGTATTAATATAGAGGGGAGATATTGTCTCGATTTCAATTTTTGTACTAAAATAATCGTTTTAAGTTAAATGAAAATATATTGGATGAAAATATCCTAGGTTTGGTATAAGGACATAGATAAACAAAATCGAAATCATTGAACGGCAACATACAAGACATAATAGATATGTATGAGTTCAGGATTCAGGGGATTGACTAAACTTTCATCTTATTGATGAGAGTTTGATTCCTTGACTCCACACCTTTACTCCACCATTTCCCCTTTCAAAAAAAATATATAATAGAATTCATGATATTTTTAAGTGACATTTATGCTAGATTACTCACAAATTATGTAGAATTGTTGTAATTCCAAACCTACAAACAAGAAAGAGGGGTTGGGGTCGGGTATGAAGTCAGGTGCTACGCTGGGGTTAGAAACATGAAAAGATTAGAAATATTTTTCTTCGTATCAAATACAGCTAGTCCTTAGTTTGATGAATACATATGTGGTATCAAATTGTTGAGTTAAATTTTCACACGAATTTATTTTCTTGAAATATTACTTTGATAATTATACTAATGGTTTCTAGTAGTTTTAACTTTTAAACGTTCGAAGGTATTTAGTTAGAAAGGAAATTAAAGTGAGTGTTAAAACATATCGAAAAAACATGTTAAACCATAACACATTTTCCTTAGAAAAAAAATCAATTATTTATATTAAGTCTAAAAATTATATTACATATTGTTGGTGAAATTATAATTAGAATTGGAAAATAAATTTAAGAAAATAAAATATTTTTAGGCTTTGGTACAAATATCTCTCTCTTTCAAAAAAATAATAATAATTCAAGGCCACTGTAAAAATACTTTGCCGGATCAACACTAAACCTTCTTGTCTTTTCTTCTATAAAATTCAACAATCTAACATTGATAACTCAACAAACTCTAGAGTCTAGACAAGAGTTAAGTGTAAAGCTCTATGAAAAAATGTCTTCACTCAACAAAATAAAACTCTTTTTTCTACTTATAATTTTTATACACTATATAGTTTTCTTGTACACAATATAATATACGATCACCACTATTAATATGAAAAAAAAATTCTTCTATGTAATAAATAACAAGAATGTGGAATAGTAACATGAGTAAATCAATAAAAAGAACTATGATCCAAAATTAATAAATTATAAGATATAATAAGATAGAATAATGAACAAATTTGAACGTCGCACAGTGTTATTGCCATCACTAAAAATAATGCAATCCAATGGCTTTTTGCTGAAGTAGTAATGTCCTTTCTTCTTTCTTTTTTTCCCTTGTTTGCCAACAGATTTTTGAAAAAAGAAATAATAGAAAAGAAAAAAAAGTAACTAATTTTTTATTTAAAACTAGTAGTAGATCTTTTAATTTCCCCCCCCAAAATGATGGTAAATAATTGATACTATGACATCAGAATATCACATGATGAAGATGTATACAAAAAAAAATATAACGTAATAGATTTGAAAATGATGTGAATAGGCACACATAAATTGGCAATTGAGCTATGCTAGTCACCAACCAATGAAAAATCCATCAATAATTTAAATGATAATGTCACTCACATGAATTCCATGTACAATTAGGGTTCGTTTAATCGTTGGTTAGGAAGTGAAGTATTTATGTGTTAGAATCTTTGCTTGAAAATGTGGGAATGTAAGGCGAAACATTTTATGCAGTAACGAATGTAATATAAATTCAAAAATATTATATCAATTTATATATACACTTAATATTTATGAAGCAATATTTAAGAATACTTGTATAAAGTGGAGTATGTTTTAGGGCATCTGAATTTACTGTCACCATCAAGGTCCGCAGATGGAAGCAACCAAACAATTCTGCAAGAAAAGATTCATATCTTTGTACCGATAAAAAGAGTATTACCACATATATATGCTTGATACAAAGTAGTTGAATATCGATTTGAAGGTTTCTCGGATGAAATCTTATTTCCTTCATCGACAACGTAAAATAATATTATAGGCACATTAAGTTTCGAATTACTCAAAGTTAAAATAAACATAATTTAGCTATGAATGTATGTACCTTTGCTTCAGTAGTTGTGTCAGTTTCCAAGAACAACGTGATACTTTCAGCGAAAGTTCTCAACTCAAGCAAGCTACATGTATTTGTTAGTCTGAACAAACGTAAATTGAGAGTAATAATGAATACATCAATTAAATTCTTGCTCGTTAGCATTCTCTTTGTTATAAAAATATATTTTGTGATGAATTAAAATTTAAATCTAAATTATTCTTTCCCTATATAAAATGGATTCACAACAAAACCCTCAATTGATTTTTTTTATATCAATATTTTATTATTTTTATTATATAAGTGGTAGTTGTGCATATTAACTTTGTTATATAACATCGAAACACAATGATATATGCCCTTCTTTTTGTAGTTGCATTTGCATGTGCCTACAGAGAGGAAATGAAAATGATTGATTAAGAAACGAAAATACTGTATATAATATGCTTTCTTGGATTTATTTTTTCATCATTTTTTTTCTCAATTATATTATAACATCTAAAAAATAATATATATAGCTACAATAGCCTTAGCAAGTGGGAGAACAGTTCTAAAATAAAAACTTTTATAGATAGAATCAATGTTTAAATTGACAAAATTGGACCACCCAAATACCAATAGCCAAATAGCCCCCACCAATCTCTCTATTGTCGTCAATGGCTATAGTTGTATAACAAGAGGAGAAGGAGCTAATGGATCAAAACTTTATAATCTATCATGTTTTTATTAGTTTCATATTTAAATTATGTCTAATTTATGTTTTTTTAGTTTCTCATATGATGTATGGTATTCGTATTGGAGATGTCTGATATTTAGTGGAGGGTGGTAATTATTGATAGTGATTAGTGGAGGTAATAATAGTTGGTGGTGATGATTGTAAATGGTGGCTAATGATAGGGGTAGCGAAATCAAACCTAACCTGTCCAATTCGTTTAAATTGGGCGGGTTATTGACCTGCCCATTCATTAGCTCAACCCATTCAACTTATTAAAAATTGAGTTGATATGAAACCTAAATTGACTCGTGGAATTTTTGTCGAAATATTTTATTTTTCAATTTTATATGTTGTATTAGGTACCAAAATAATTTAAAAGAATAAATAAAACAATTAAGCTTGGTAAAAATTGGATTGAGTCTTGACGCATAATATAACCCATTATAACCCGTTCAAATTTGGCCCAACCTGCTCAATTGCCACCCCTATCTAATGGTGATGATCAGGGGAGGATCCACATGGAGTCCGCCGGGTGCTCGAGCACCCATTAACCTTGTCTCGAAATATATATATATATATCTATGTTGAAATTAAGAGGTATTTGTAAAAAATTAACATAGAGCACCCAATGAATAAATGATTTGATTGACCCATTGGCTCTTGGGTGAGTGCTTAAGGCTCTTTAAGTGTTTTGAGCCTAAGTTCGAATCTCATTCTTAACATGTATTTTTTATATTTGTGACTCCGCAGCTGAGGGTGGTAATTATAGATAATAGTTGTGGCTAAAATGATGATTATGGGTGGATAAGTGAAAGTAGATAGAGCAG